TGAATGGGATGCTGCAGGTTGGTGAAGCACTGATGGGGCTCGACCACTGCATTTCAAACCTGTGGTGAACCAGCCTGGTGTCAGAGAGCCCTTCCCTGCACAGGGTCAAACAGAGGAACGGGAATTCTTCAGGCTGTGCTCCAGCCTGTGAATTTCCTTCCTACCCAGCACAAAGAATTTTGTGAGAAATTATGAGTTTCCCTCTTTCCTCTCAGATTTCGTGCTTGTGGCTAAGATCTCCTTGGAGATACAGCTGTTCACATGGTATTGCATAAGAGCTGAATACGACATCGCACTGACCCCCTTTGTGGACTGATCCAAGAGACGGGTCTGTTGTGTCAACATGTTACTGTGAGTTTGTTCTTTCTTTTTGGTTGCTGCATCCTCCCAAAAGAACAGTGAGTGGCTTATCCACTTCTGAGTCTTCCTCCCAGTGACAGAGGTGGCAGGATACTTTTGACAGCCACATTTTAAGGAAAGGACAAAATAGAGTTGTCCATAGCAATGACTGCACAGACCAGTAGAGCACTGCATCACTTTCTTCACCTGTAATTGTTACATTAAAGCCTTCATTTGGCCTAATCAAGTGTTTAAATAGAGCTGTATTGCTTAAAATAGAGCTGTTTCCTTCCTCGAACCTGATGTAGTTGTATTTTAAAGATGAAGTATTAACTAGAACAAACTGGTATCATCTGAGTGTGAACTGAGGCGATGTGTGTGATGGGAAGTTTTCTGTCAGCACTCTGCTGAGGTTCTGTGTAAAGCTCACAGGCCTCACTGACACACAACCAAGCATCAGTTTGAAATCAGCTCGCCTTTGATACTGTTTTAAATCACGAGGTGCAGAGAGTTAAGTACACACCAGTATAACTGCAGTGCCCTCAGGAGGGGCCGTGGCTTTGTGAGAGGCTCCTGCAGCCCGTGCTCCTGGCTGTGAGCAGGGGCTGAGCTGGGCCCCCAGGCAGCACCTCTGCTTGGCCATGGGGCTGCTGGGCAGCAGCGGGAAGAGTCTGGGCTCCTCGGGAGGATCCCAGCCTGGGATGTGCGTGGTGGATGGATAAAAGGGAGGCTGGGCTGCAGCCAGTGGTCACTGTCAGGGCTCGCCCAAAGCAAGCTGAGGAGTCTCGCTTTTGGAGGGGCACAGGACCCTCACCTCAGCTTGAAACACCAAGCAAGTCCATCAGCAGTGAAACAGAAAATTGCATCACCTGCTTCGAGGAACGGGAAAGGAAAGCACTGCACACTTTCTTAATTGCTTTGTTCTTTTTTTTCCTTCCATGTCGAGGCAAGAACTAGAGAGGACAATGTCAAGAGTGGGGAGATCACAGAATACTGGCTGCGTTGTTAGTGTGGTGGGACAATGTTTCTTTGAAGTGTTTATGCTGTGCTAGATAGAGAAAAGGAGTGGGAGGCTGGGAAAGAGAGACCCTGCTCAGTCTGGCATTGTGGCAGTGCTGGCAATCAGAAATCAGGTAATAGGATTTCGCTGTCTGGATCAGCCTCTGGCTGTCTGCAGTATGTTCAGGAAATCACTTTACAGCTCTGCTCCCATTTCCTTGGCTGTCAAATGAACAGAATGATAAGTGCCTCCTCCGAGCGCTGGGGAGGAAGGAGCCAGAGGTGTGTGAGTGATGAATCCAGCAGGGTCAGGCTGAGCTGCCTGGGAACAGCCAAAGGAATGGGAGTGAGGGGCAGGGCTCATGGAGCAGATGCCTATGCCCAGTGCCCAGGGGTGCCCGAGGAGGTGAAGCAAATCTCTCCAGCCCTGTGTGAACAGGGGCAGCTGAAGACAAAGTGGTTTTGTTTCTCACCTGGCTGCAGTGAGTCCTTGGAGCGTTCGGTGCCTCTGGGTTTTTCAGAAGGAGGTTCTGCTTGTTCAGTTCTTCTGTGTGGATGTTTTATTAAGATTCTCCACGTGGCTCCTTCCCCACGTCCAACTCGCTGTAACGTCATTTTATGCTTGAAGACAATAAAAATAAAATGAGTCGGTGAGATAAGATATTGAGATAAACTGATGAGCAATGTTTATAAACCATAAGAGTCTTCTAAATTTGATAACCATCAGTTTGAGCCAATATACCCCTTGGTGCTGAAGAAAGAAAAAAATCAATATTGCAGAAGCTTTTACAGGGAATTTATGAGCACTTTGTGCAGGATCAGTCCATGAAGACTGAAGCATAGCTAGCACTGTGCACTTACTTATGAAAGGGCTTACTGAGAAGTCCCTTGTTGAATTCACAAACTGTTCCGGGGAATTAAATTGAGGAATATGGAAATGGGCTTTTAAATTTTTTTTTTCCATTTATTAGTGTATACTCAGAAGAAGAAAGTGCTGTAATAAATTATCAAACTCCTCTGAGTAATGTGGCTGAATAGACAACAACAGTGAAGCACAGGCCCTGCCAACGTTCTTAAGCATACCTGTTCCAGTTTGTGTCTTGTAAGTGGATTAATATGGGCTGGTTTCTAATAGGAATTCATCCCCCCAGCCCCTTAAGATAGACTTTCACTGTATTTAGGTGCTGCTTCCCAGTCAAGACAAGGTTGTAGCATAAACGGCTGCTAAGATGCATCAGTCACTATATCATCTCAGGGAGCATGGAGACTGTTTCTGTGTCTCACCTGATGCTCTCACCCTTTTCCTGATCCGCTCCCAGCTGAAGACAGTGGGGAGCAGAGTTAAACGAGGCAGCTGAGGTTTGTTGTTCTCCCCTGCTCATCACACGGTTTGGGATGTGACCTGTTCGTATCAATTTGTGGTGCTCTTGAGGCAGATTATGGAGTGCCAGAGAGACTCGGTGTGAGTGAAATTGTGCCTCATCTTGAGAGAGAATACAAGGTGAAACCAGAGAAATCAGGCTGCTCTCTGGCAGGGTAGAAAGTTAACGTTTAAAAAGGTGCTAGAGTTTTGGCTGTACTTTGTCTGTATCTTGTGGAGCATGGAGGGAAGCAGGATTTTTTGTTCACAAGCAGTTGGGGGTGCTGCTGCAGGCAGCTGTAAGGGTGGGGCTGTTGGAGGGTCACTGGAGGCCGTCCCCACCATCCAGGGCCAGGCTGAGGTGAGCAGCACTGCTCACTGAACCATGGGGGGTAAAGGGCTGGCACTGGGCAGTTCTTACCTTTGCTTTCCATTCTTTCTCCTTTTGCACACACACAAGAAGCCTGTCTTACATCTCCTGTCCCTAAACATGATGGGATTTACTGAAGCATCCTCGTGGCTGTGTGGATGGGAGGCTTGTTTCTCTCCCCCTATAGTGAGACCTAGTTCTTATGTGCACTTTAAAGGTTTCAATGAAAAGCACCAAGAATCAGGAAAATCTTTGATTGAACAGCTCATCTTCTAATTTACACCTGTGCTGAGCCTTTTGGCCGTGCTGCTCCACAATGTCTGCCTTGTATTTCTCTTTATTTCCTGCTGGGTGCACATGGGAGCACCAAACTGCGCAGAGGCACCGGAGAACTGGGTTTGGAGGGTGTCCTCAGAACACCCCAGCCTGGGAGCCTTGATCTGCCTCTCTGAATGAGAGCCAAGGAAGCCTGGTGGAAGGAGAGGATGGATCAGGCTTCAGATGTGTGATGGGCTCGCTTCATTTAGAGCGCTGCTGTGAGATGATTCCTTAGCCTTGGCTGTTGAAGTAGCCTCGACAGTTCCAGGTTGCAGCTGAGACGAAGCTGGCAGGGCTGAGTTGGGAGTGTTGTTCAGCTGAGATGTAGAAAGGCATCTTTGATTTGGTCATTCTCATTTCACGGTGGAATTTTCTTGTGTGTTTGCCCAAAGACCTTCATGATTTTATCTCTGCCCTCTTCTCTTTGCTTTCAGATTCCCTCGGGAATTGTGGGAGTTGGTGCTGATTTATTAGTGCTCCCTGTGCACTGTGCTTTGCAGATCACAGCTTTCCCATTTGCCACCTCCACCTCCCTCTGCAGCAACACCAAGCACTTGCTTTGGTCCCTCCCTGCACTGCAGAGCAAGGAGCTAAACAACACCAAATCGTCTCTCTGCCCATTGCCATTAGTTTTTTACCTTAAGGGAAGGTGACAGTGGCATGTCCTCACACCAGGAGGCAGCTGAACACGATCAATGCAGGCAAGAGGAACAGATAACTGCATAACAGATCCAGGGAAAGCCTGTGCTCACAGCCCTGGTGCTACATGGTGTTAGGGATCTCCCCCACTGCCAGCAGGTGTTCAGGTAATGCTGTCCAGGGTGCCCAGGCAGAGATGGGATTGCTCTCAGAGCTCTGCCCACCCAACTAAAAGGTGATGTGAAAGCAGAGGATCCCCATGCCCTGCTTAACAGAACTCAGGTTCTCTCTGTGCCATGCTTGAAGTGGAAGTGGTGTTTTCCCTGGACCAGGCAGCCTGGGATCTGACCTCTCTGCATGGCTGCTCACTGGATTTGTTTGTGGTCTCTCAGAGCCACCTCCCTGTTTCCCTGCAGTGTCTCCACCTGTGCCTAGGAGGGCTCTGGTGCCAGACTCCACCAGGGCATTGGTCACAGGCTGTAATTTAGACATTACTGCTCTCCAGCAATAAAAACCATTACTTGGATCTGCCCCAGGGAATTGTCCAGTCCTTTTGTACGAGCACTCCTTTCTCCTCCTCTCACTTTTAACAGCTTTCTTGCTAAGGCATTGTTTTGGTGAATTGTGCATATCAAACTGTGTTTTCTTCCTCCCTGTTCTCCCACTCCTGTTGTTCATCTCTTTTTTTTTTTTCTTGTTACTCTTCTTAAAATGTGTGTACTTTGCTCTTGTTTCCCTTTAAATGTTCGAGTAATTAGCAGCAGTGGGCACAGAAAGGGTTCTGTCGATGTGAGCTGTATTGGTAAGTGTTTGACACGGTTTGCTGCGTAGGGGGGGTGGGCAGCGGGGAGAGACTTCATTCAGCAGCAGCTTTCCAGCACTTCCTCAGTTTCCTGTTGGCAAGGAGAGCTTTCAGACAGCCTTTCCGGTGTTCCTCTAATCTCTAAATGCATGTTTCCCAAACCTATTCCACAGGTGCCAACGAAAAAGCTGAAGAAATATGAGAGAGAGTACCAAACCATGCGAGAGAGTCAGCTGCAGCAGGAAGATCCTATGGACAGATACAAGGTAGGAGATGCTCTCGGGAGCCTGTTCCACTGGCAGATCCCATGCAGTGACCTGGTGCCAGGGGCTGAACAGAGGGGTGTGTGCCACACTCACCTCCCAGGGGGTGCTGCTGCAGACCTTAGGGAAGTGCAGGGCCAGGTGAGACTCAGCCCCTTTCCTGAACAGGCACTGTGAACACTTGGACTTAAAGGCTTTTTTCCCAGGAGTATTTCAGTCACAATTTTGTAACTCTTAAGACATCTGCAAGTAGCCACATGTAATATTTTTCTTCTTTCAGTTTATATGTTTGTAGGTAACTCTCCTGCTGTTGCAGTGTTATGGGAGATCTCCATGAGCCGCAGAAACAAAGGGGGATTCTCAGCTACAGATACAGAAAGGAGAAAATACACATTGTTCTAGCACAAGCTGTGTGCAGTGGCATCCTCAGAGACTTTGGAAGATGAACTCTTCCTTGGCTGACGTGTTCCTTGTCGTTCACTCCTGTTCATACCCAGTGTTAGCAGTTTGTTGTTAAGATAATGCCTGGTGAGGTGGCACCCAGAGCTCCCTGGGGGGCCCTGGCACTGCTGCAGCAGAATTAGCAGTGATGGAGATCCTGCTTTAGGGCAGCAGAGGAATACAGGTTCAGTTGGTAATACTGACAGCTCACTAGTTCACCAGAAGAGAACGGTTCTTTAATTTTGGATTAGCTTTGCTTGTCTTGCCAGTGAATCTCTTGCCGTAGGTTTTGTGTGCTGGATGCTCTGCCCCTGGGCACAGCCTGCACTGAGTGTTTGGGATCCGCTCCTTGCTCACCCTAGTTTGAGCAGGGCAGTTTTCTCCTGGTGGAGCTGCCAGAGATGAGGATCCCTGGGAACTGACACTGCTTACACAGCCCTGGACTGTTTGCCTGCTGTTCCTCCTTGTGCCTTAGTTTGTTAAGTGACATTGCAGTTGGTACAGAGTCTGCCAGGAGTGTGGAGTGGGGAATAATCTTATTCCAGTGGTCTGTGAATGTAAGGAAAGAGCACCATGTTCAGAACACCAAAGTATGGAAATCTGCAGTGAGAGACTGTGCCTTACTTCATAAATGTGACTTACAGGTACAGAGAAGGTCAAACTGACTCCTCTTTTAAAAGGCATTTATCTGTGAAAAATTATATTTTAAGTGTATTTTTTTTTGCTGTCAAAGAGTGTAGTTTTATTGTTTGTGAGACTTGGGATAGCTGTAGTAGCCAAGAGCCAATAGGAAGCATGGCCTATTTAGGGAAAAACCACAACTTGCTGCTGATTAACTTCTAAGTATTTTTTTTTCAGTGGTTCACTTATAGTACTGTGGAATTAAAATAATGCTTAGAGAACAAATAAGGTTCTTTAAAGCTCTGTGGAAGCATATTAACTAGTTAATTATGGGTGATGAGCAGTGAAGAACATTATCCCAAGCTGCCAAAGAGGATATAGAAAGTGACTCTTGGGCCACTGTCGCTGTGAGTCGCTGTCACAGCCAAGATCACTGAGCCCAGGGTTTTGGCTTGCACTTCCGAAACTCACTGTGGATTTTTTTATTAAGCTGGATTGGGTCTGATCCTCTTAGCAGTGCTGCCATCAGAGAGTCCCCATGACTGGTTAGTTGAGTTCAAAGTTCAGACGCATTCTTCAGTTGATGGAAAAAGGCTTGTACGTGTTCTTTGTTCCTTGTCTGGCTTGTTAAGATTTTCTGCCTGTGTCAGGCCGAGGTTGGTAGGAATTGACCTTTCTGAAGGGCAGCAAGAAACCCCTCCCAGGCAGCAGGTGGAGAGCCAGCCTTGCTGTTTGCTGTCCCCGCAGTGAGTGCTCTGCAGCCCACGGGGGCAGCACCAGGGCAGGGCTGGGCTTGCTTTGGGAGGGGACAAAAGCCCTGCCCCTGAGCACGGCCCTGCTGTGGCTCCCCCTGCGTGGGCTGTGCCCCACGGCCCTGCAGCCTTGCAAGTGTCACAGTTTCCCTTCCCAGAACAAAACAAGGGCTTGGTTTGCTGCCTGGCAGGAGGACCTTTCACGGATGGGATGGCTGGAGTGGAGGTCCCAGCGGAACATTCCTGGAGAAGGAAGCGAGTTCTCAGTTTGTTGATAGTTTTCAGCCGTAGTTTGTAGAGGGTTTGTTGTTTGCAGCGTGGCACAGTTTTTGTTGCCAACAGAGGTTTGTCAGGACCTCAGAGATGAGGGCCCTTGTGAGCTGCAGTGGGGGAGGATGTCTGAGTAAGACAGGGAGGAAATGAAGGCCTTGATGGTCCGTGGAGAGAGGGACATGGGCTGGGTTGGCAGGTGGGCCCACCAGGACCGGTCAGGTTGGCTCAACATGTTCAATTCATCCGCTCCCGTGAGCTGTTACACGCACAAGAGTTCCTGCCCAGCTTGGCTTTTATGTGTTGACTGTGATTTGACTTACCAAAAGAACAGTATTAAAGAGTGTGTTATTTTTGGTGTTTGTTTCCTGATGTATTTACAAGTATTATTTAGGAAAAGTGTGTGTTTTTTATGGACATCTTTTCACTTTATTTTCCATTGCTTTTAAGAAATTACCACATTTTTGTCAGATTTTTAAAAGGTGCAAAAGGGAAATGTGTTCTAAATTGCTGTTTGTCACCGGATCTCATGACTTTTGGTTAAAATAAATTACTAATTGCCTACAGAAGCCAGGAAGAAAAGTGAGTTGTATGTAGAGAAAAAGTAGTAATATAGTTTAGATGGATATTTTTCTAAATATTATGGTGGGTTTTTTCTGTGTTTGAGAACACCTCACGTAACAGGGTTTGGGTTCACTTGATGGGAAACTTCCAGAACTGAGCTTGGGACTTGATTTAAAATAAAGAGAAGAAGGGCTGGAGTTTTGCAAGCAGACCCTGCTGTTCTGTTGTGCCTTTTCCTCTGTGGACCTCGTTGTGCAACAGAGAAGTTGTGTGTGTGAATAAATGTGTAATTTGGATGTAACAGCCTTTGGTGTGTCTGAAGTGGAAGCAAAAATTAATTCACTGCTCATTTTCATTCAGTCATGGTAACTGAATGTTAACATCACCAGGAAAAACACGACGGCTCTTGATGTGTGGGACGTTGTGGTTTCCAAAAACCAAATGTGCTGAGGCACTTTGGGGGATGCTGCTCCAGAGTCACCAAACAGAAAACACAGCCACCTCCAGGAGCCTCTGTGTGGCTTCCCATGGCAGGTTTTCCTGGATGGGTTGCTGTAAGAGCCTGTGGGGTTTCCAGATGGAGCTCCAGAGGGTTTTCCTGCAGAGCTCCTCCACAGCCAAGAGCCCTTTCTACTGGGTTTAGGAAGAAGCTGGTGGGGAGGTATGAGAAGCAGAAGAGGCCTTGACTCTGTGCAAGCCCTGCTCGGCAGTAACAGCACCATCTCCATCCCATCAGCACTGTTTCCAGCACAGATCCAAACCACAGCCCTGCCAGCCACTGTGAAGAAAATTAACTCTACCCCAGCCAAAGCCAGCACAGGGCGTTGCTCATCAGAGGCGGAATTGCTTAAGGAGGTTGGTGACTCGTTCCACCCCACTTGAGTACAGCTCAGAGAGGATGCATCATCACCACTAATCTCCTCAGGAATTGCTCCTCGGTTCAGGCTGGAAGGGAGCAGAGGGTGGAGTTCAGCCTTCAGTCTTCCTGAGCTGAGCCTTGCTTTCAAGTGTGCCTCATTCTTTCCTTCCATCCAGCGTGTGATGGGAGCTGGAGTACATCCTCTCTAAAACTCACAACCAAAATCCCACTGAAGAACCAGCAACTTTTTTTTGTTGGTATTAAACCTTGTGTTATATCCTGTTTCCACTGTCTTTACACCAATGGTTGAGAGCAGTATTTGGTCTGTGACTTTGCAGGAGGTAAGTTTATTTGTGTTTGTGTGTCTATCAGCGGTGTTTGTCCTCTTTGGAAATGCAGTATCCTCCTTTTAACAGTTAACCAGAGCTCACCAGCCACCTTTTTTTGTAACCAGGAGGAGGAATTTGGGAAAGAGGGATCTCTTATTTTATGGATGGTAGAAACCCAGCAATGTTGAGGAGAAGGAAATGGTTGTCACAGTCAGTAATTTAGTGGTGTGGAGAGAAGAGGCAGGAAGCTGTGTGTTTACAGCAGGGACAACTAGCAGGTCTGACGAGTTGGCTGATGCCAGGTCACAGATGCTGCCTGGGATGTGAGTCCTGCTCTAACGAACCAGCTCCATCTGTTGAACTTCTTGTCCTTGCGAGCGTATTTCATAAAACCCTGTCAATATTTCAGAGCCATTGCAAATAGTTTGCTGCACGTGAAAAGCACTATTTGCTGTTTCTGTCTTTACTGCGTCACATTAGGTTTTATTTAGAGGGAGGCAGACTAAGAGTTTCCTCCTGAGGAAGGAGGCAGTTTTTCACTGCTAGATCTGGGGGGAGGAGCTGGAAAAGACAAACCATCTCATCGGGCATTCTGCCCTGGGTGGAGGGAGAGTAAAGGTGGCCCTGTGAGAGGCTCTCAGCTGGGCTCTCAGTAAGGGTATGGTGACCGGGCTAAAAGCATCTCCTGGCTATTGACCGGATGCCCAAGGTAAGAGATCTTTGCCTTCTCGTGTAAGAGGAGGATAGCGCATTTCCAGCACCGAGCTTGCTTACACACTTGTCTGCCAGCGCAAAGCAGGAACTCTCAAACTTCACACTGCAGCTTGCTTTGCAGACACTGAAGCTTTTGGCAAAGGCACAGCAGAAATGTTAAAGCCAACTGGGTTGTTTTGTGAAAGTCTTAAGTGTTTGCTGCTTTTTCCTCCTCAGCACCGTCCCTACGGAGAGGCACCGGTGCAGCACCTGCAGCAGCACTGCCCTCATCTGCTCCCAGGTTTTAGGTGAAGCCAGGTCTCACAGCTGCCTGCTGTCTATAAAAATCAGCATTTCTAAGGTGGTCTGAACAGAATACAGGGGGAAAGGCATGTTAGAGATGATGATGATGATGGTGATTGACTGCAATTTGGTTTTACGCTCTAAAGTTCATTTTATCCTTAGAGAAGAGTTTTACTTTTAAAAATTCCCTGTCCCATGCAGGCTACAGTGCAATTAAAATAAGAAAGATCCCCCAAGTTGTGTGTCTTTTAGCAGTGGTTATCTTAACTGTGCTAAGACAAAAGCATTTTACTTACAGTTTCTGTACAAAACAAGTTATTCAAAGTACGATCTTTTGGAAAGGAAACAAACTTACTTTCCTGTACAGGGCAGTGCCTGGTCTAGTTGCACAATAGGGTCACATTAGGGAGAGAGAATTTGTAGAGGTTCTGCTTCCTGCCACAGAGGAAGTTCCCACACAGAAGAGACCTTTTTAAGCATCCTCTTAGAGCTCTACTTGTCCTGTTTCTGTTTAAGACAAGCGTGCAAAACCTGCTTGCAACAGAAATGAAAATTGCAGTTTCATGGTGGTGAGTTTGGAGAGAAAAAATATCTGAGCATAGCTGGTAGGCAGGAGGAAGTGAAAACAGGTGAATAATGTGCTTGTGCAAGAAATCACATTTTGTAGGAACGTGTTCACTGAACAACTCTTGGAAATGTTTTTGTCTAAAGTGCTGATAGATACTGACTTCTATTGTTTTGTCATGGAGAACATAACTTACCTCTCAAGTGAGAAGAGGTCCTTTTTGAAATCTCAGTGTGGAGGTGGTTGTTCCATATGAACGTGGTGTTTTACTTTGACTTTCCGTAGGGCACAGATGCCCTGTGCAGCCTATGCTGGTGTGGAAGATCCACAGCCATTGTGTCACTGAAGGCCAGCACAGGTTTTCCTCTCTTAAAACCCTTTTGGGGAGGGCACCTCTGTCCGTCCCATCTGGCTGTGTTGTTCTGAAGATGAGGATGAGAGTTTGGTGTTGGACCCCTGGGAGTCCACTGACCCACAGGCATCTTTTGAATATGGTTCTGTTTCTCAGCCCTAGGAAAACAGTCACTGAGGCTGATTTTTCAAACACATGAATCACTGTTCTTGTTATTGTGAATTACCATCCCCTGTGCACTTCCCTTGGGTGGCTGGTGCTCCAGGGAGCTGTCTCTGCCGGTGTGGAGTGGGCAGGGAGGGCCTGGAGTTCTCTGTTTGGTGTTCCCCTCATTGTCCCGTGCTCGGGGCTGAGCTCCCCTCTGCCCCTGGCACTGTGGCCCAGCAGGTTTCCTGTCCAACACACACTGGTGTCACTGGTGTGGGTTACAGGGAAGGGCACAAATGGCAGTACAGGATATAGGAGCTGTAGGGACTTCCCTGCTAAACGCTGTGCTCTGCCGGTTCCACAGGAGATGGGAAGTTGGCACCATTATCATCTACAAAATGGACTATTTTTATGGATCCCTGCAGACAGAGTTTTGTAAAGTGGAGCAGGACAGCTTTCTGCTTCCGATTGGAAACATTATGAGTAGCTCTTAATTGGTCCCTGTTCTCTGCTGCTGGGTGGGATTTTATCTGCCTGATTTCTTCAGATGATGAGCAAGCAGAAACCGAGTGCTTTTGTGGAGAGGGCTGTGTGTACTTTTGACAGGGAAACGCTACGATCAGTGTGTCTGTCACCTGGCGACACAGACCATTGGGATGTAAGTGGAATAGCGGCATCTGCACTGCTGGCTTAACTCACTGTTGTTTCCAGAGCAGCAGCCCTGTCTGAATGTGCACTCTTGCCTTGCCGGTGTTTTGCGCACACAGTTCACTCGTTCATTGCTCTGCCGTGTCGATGAGGATTAACTCGCCCTCCTGGCTGTTCCTCTCTTTCGGCAGAGGGAGAACCGCAGGCTCCAAGAAGCGAGCATGAGGCTGGAGCAGGAGAACGATGACCTCGCCCACGAGCTCGTCACCAGCAAGATCGCCTTACGGAATGACCTGGACCAGGTGATGCTCACACAGAGGGGCCCCAGATCAGGCTGGCCAGCACCAGCTTTAGGAGCTCAGCTTTGTGCTCCACTGAGAGCAGAACAGCACTGAAAGTGTAATTTTTTGTGCCTTTATTTTCCTGCCAGCCTCACTCCTAGCTGCAGTCAGCTGGATTTCCACATTCAGTGGTGTCTGGCCCCACACTGCACCTCCTCTGCTGGGGACTGCTTAGAAAATGTAAGCCATAAACTTTAGGCAGATACCACAGAATGAACATTTCCTTGAAAAAGGCATCACATACTCCTTGAAAGACTCATTTCAAGGGATGTTGCCTTGCAAAATGTCTACCTGGGTCTGTTTTTCACAGCAGTTTTAGTACAGCCAACAAAGCTCAGAGATAATGAGGTGGCATGGCACCAAAAATGAGAATGGCTCCTGTGTGGTTGTTGATAACTGCTCTTGTTCCCAGTGAGGACAGGAACGTGGAGGGCAGCAGCGTTCAGAGCCCTTTGCCTCAGAGATGGTTTTCAGAGAACTCCACATTCAGCCCTCTCTTTCTGAGGTGTTTTATGTAGTATTGATACATGCTGTGACAGCTGTTGTTAGGTACTAAATAAGGAGGGTCAGACTCCACCACATCTTGTGATTAGCCCCTTGCTGTGGTGCCTTTTATAATGTAAAATCTTTGCCTGCAAGGGCCTCTCAGTTGGATTTCCCACAGGTATTTTGGCTTGCTTTATCTAACCTCAGAACTGTAAACACCGTTGACCACAGTTGTGCAGGCTGTGTCTCTGCTTAGGCAGATCCTGGACAGTTGGGCTCTGCTGATTTGGATCCGTGGGATTCTGAAATTGTGAGCTGTCTGGGTGAGCACAGAGATGGGCTCTGCATGATGGAGCAGGCAGGCTCGAGTGGAGGCCCCAAGCCCTGTGCTGAGGAGCTCTGTCATCCTGGGAATTCCAGCTGTCCGGGGAGCAGCTTTATGTCTATCTGCTGCTGCCCGTGCTTGTTCTCCTCAAGTGTCACGGCAAGGCTGCCGAGCACGTCCTTGTGCCAGTCCTGTTCCTTGTTCTCCCACACTTTCCCAGTGTTTCTGTAGACAAGAGTGGCTCCATGAAGTTTTCCCACCCCCTGCCTCCATTCCCAGGCACTGCAGGAAAAGCTTTGTGCTGCTGCACTCCTCATCTGCAAGGACAGGACACCAAACACCACTGCAGGTGCTTGGAGAAACCGGAATGAGCACATGAAAGGAGGAAGGATTTGCAGTTCCTTCAAAGCATATCTGAGAACAGGTCTTTCATCAGAAATACCCTTGTAATCCCCGAGTTCTTTAGTTCTAAGATGTCAAGCTCATCGATTTTCCGTTCTTGCAGTGCTTGTTTTCCTTTCTCCCATGAGCCGTGCAGGGATCCTCAGTCCACCTCTTCAGCTGTGGCCCTGGTGGAGCTGCTCCTGCTGCCCACAGTCACCACCAACACCCTCATTAATAATGAGCACTGTGGCAGAAAGATAAGCTGATACCACCAGCAGTGGTGGAAAACCAAACTGCAGCTTGTAGACAAGTCCTGTACGGTTACTTCTTGTTTCCAGTGCCCTTTTCCCTCTTGGATTTTCAGCAAACTCAGTATTATTTGACTGCAGCTATTACCTGTCCTGCACCTAGTTTTTGAACAGGAGCAGTGGTGAGGTGCCCCGTGTATCTCCCAGCTGGGGAGGGCAACACAATGTATCCAGACACTGGGAAATTCATTTCTCTGCTGGTGATGGGTGAGGACAGTGCTCACAGCAGTGAGGCATTCCCAGTGTGTGTCACCATAAGCTCAGCCCTTCCAAGAAAGGAGAAAATTCCTATTCCCCGGTGCACACACAGCGTCAGGTTTCTCCATGTAATACTTGTGTGCACTGATAAACAATTTATCTGGTGGTCCTGTTTGTCCTACACTTGTCTTTGCCTGAACACTTTGTAGGGTGCAGTGCAGGCACCAAAGTTTTTACAGGCACCTGTTTTCCCTGCTTAGGACAGAGTATCTGTGCCTGTGTGGGCACAGGAAAACACTTGGCCAAAGGGTCCTTGTGCACAGTTTCCCAGATTCCACAGGGCAGGAAAAGGCAATGCTAGGACCTGAATCTGCAGTAGTTCTGAGCTGTATATCCCAGTGGGTTTGTACCGGCACAGATAAGATCTGAGTTACACCCGTGTCTCTGATTTTAGGCTGAAGACAAAGCGGATGTTTTGAACAAGGAACTTCTCCTGACCAAACAGAAGCTGGTGGAGACTGAGGAAGAGAAACGGAAGCAGGAGGAGGAAACTGCTCAGGTAAGGCATTCTCCAGCTTTTTCCCACTGAGCTGGGAAATGCAATCAGAAGGATATGCGGAAAAGTGTGGATGTGTAGCAATTGCAGAAGGGATTTTGTCTTCAAAATGCAGTTGCAATTAAAAGTTTGTAGTGCCAGGGTAGTTTTTTTCTTCGGTGTTTTCCTTTACTTGATCTGTGAATGTTTAGTTTTCCATAGCTTATCGTCTTCCCAGGATTTAGCAGTCATTGTCACTGGCAGTGAGCAATCGCAGTCAAGGAGATCAGACCTCTTTTAATTATCTACATGAGGAGCTGGAGGAGCTGTTGCCTTGTAAGAGTCTGTTCTGGATTCAGCTGCTGGATTGCTGAAATAAAGTGTTCCTGCCTGAAGCTGGAACCAACAGCAGAGCAGGGATGAGGGCTGGGAGAATTTTGCTGACTAGACCTGTCCTCACATTCATTTGCAAAATATTCAGTCTTAGTTTGGTAATCCTGTGTGTCTTAATGTGTAGGTTTCAAAAGGGATACCCTGATTTTATTTTTGCTCTTTTACCATTCAACACAGAGGGAATTATTAAGCTACAGGAGAACTCTCTGAGCAGGGATAAGGGGTCACAGTGTAGACTTTTGGTTGTCATTGATATTGTAAGGATTTTTATACTGGCTAAACCTAAATAAAACTAAATAAAGACACTGGAGTTTGGTGAGAAGCAGCTGTAGAGCTGCTGTAAACACAGCGAGACACAGAGAGAACAATCTGCTGATGCATTCTGAGAGCTTCTGTCAGTGCACTGGGTAACTTCTGTCCTTCCCTTCCTAGCTGAAGGAAGTCTTCAGGAAGCAGCTGGAGAAGGCGGAATCTGAGATCAAGAAAACCACAGCCATTATTGCAGAGTATAAACAGGTACCGTTCAGAGGGTCTTTCTTGTATTTCTGCTTTCAGCCTGTCCCAGGAGCTGCATTTTCAGCACTGCAGATCTCATCCTTTAAATAAGCTCCCCTGCCTCTCAGGCTGTCAGAGAGCAACCTTGTAATTTGTCATAAATATTTTTGTGGTTTTCCTAATAGTCTCCCAATTAGGCAGTCAGGAATAACCTGTCTCTCAGCTAATTTTTGTGCTGTTGGGTGAATGTGTCTGTACTTGGTGACAGTGCAGCAAAAACATCATAAACCAGTTCATCCACAAAATGTCTCAGTCTCTGTGTTCAGGGGTTTTTTTGAATGCTGCTGTTTTTTTACCATGATCAGACTTGTTAGGGGGGATGCACATCCCTGAGTGAGGCAGAATTTAAGAAATGCATTTTTCTATCAAAAAATCACTGTTACAAAGCACAGGTTCTATTTGAGTCCAGTGAACTTGAGATAAGAGGCTGCTTTTCTCTGTTCCAGATCTGTTCCCAGCTGAGCACCAGGCTGGAAAAACAACAGGCAGCCAGTAAGGATGAACTGGAAGTGGTGAAGGTGAGAACGAGGCATCTGCAATCCGGGATGTGTTGGGATACAGGACAAAATGGGAACCGAAGTAAAAAGTTCAGTAGCCCCACGTGCATTTTTCAGCAGATTTAAACAAGGAGAAGGGTTATTTCCTTTCACAGCTCTTTATATCAGACAGGGTGAGACTCTCAGGTTGAAGTGCATGTAATACTTGGCTTTTTTTTTTTTTCTGTAAAAATGTAGAGAAAAGAGTATTTATTTGGATGTTTTGATAAAACTGGTGGGAAAGAAAGACTCTCTAGAAAAGAAACACGTGTTGGTTTTCCAGTGTGCTCAGTGGAAGGGTTGGAATTGGCCAGATTGGACAAGGTTTATATTTGGGTTTCTGTAATTTAAGCAGAATTGGCTTAAGTAATTAAATCAGATGGCACAGCTTGGGCCATCCCCAGAATTTCCATAGGGTTCCTCTCCCTTCTCTAAACCCCTTACCAGGAACATCTGTGTAAGAGGTGAGCATTTCCTGAGCAGGTAACAATTCCATCTGTCTGCTCTGTCACTGCTGAGGAGGCAGAGTCGTTTTCCCTCTGCTGTAGATTCTCGATCTTTCTTTAGTACTGAACCTGAACTGGATTTGTTGCTTTTTAGGGACTTTTTTTATGTTATTGCTAAGAACATAAATAAAATAATTCTAGGATCGATGTTCCTATAACCTGCTGAAATAACTCAATATCCTGTTCTAGTTTGTGTGAGCCAGGCCAGCTTTTTAATCTGCCCAGAGTTTAATTTACTCTCCTTTTTGTGCTGACAAAACACTGCAAAATGTTACAAAGCTTGGGTAGCAAGAGGAATTCTAACGTAGGAGCAAAGTCTCTGTGTGTAGACAGAGTGTGGTAGGTGGATTTTAGGAATTTTTATAGTGGTTAACATACCCTGGAAATTGTTTGTGAACTTCTCAAATTCTTTTCGTGCCAAATAGGAAAACAGCAGTATTAGATAGTTTGAGATGGAGGCAGTCTGACACAAAAAAGGCTCTTCCAAGAAGTACAACAGCTCCTGTCACGTGTATTAAGAATGGGCTTTCTGGGTATTCCAGGGTAAAGTGATGGCCTGCAAACACTGCAGTGAGATTTTCAGCAAGGAGGGGGCTCTGAAGGTGCCTCCTGTAAGCACGGACAACAAAGGCATTGAAATAGATGATGAGAAGGATGCACTGAAGAAGCAGCTGAGAGAGATGGAGCTGGAACTTGCACAGACCAAACTGCAGCTCGTGGAAGCCAAGTGCAAAATTCAGGTAGGTGGAATCCGAGTTCAGCAGGGCACTCACACTGACCTCGCTGTGCTCAGTCCAGAATCACGCTGAACCCTGCAAAAAATTGTTCCAAAAGAGAGGGGACATATGCTCATGGCTGTATATCTGTGAACTTCCAGGGAAAAAAAATCTGTCTTAAAAAGAGCAGAGTTTTTATTTGTGCATCTAAATATCTCGTGCTGTTTCTGCAGTTTTCAATCTGTCTTCTCTCCCCAGTGCCTGGGAGGGTGCAAGGAAAGTGCTGGACTGCAGGGACTGAGCGTGTGGATGCTTTTTGTTGTTGTTGTTGTTGTTAATTAATTGGTTTGTCGATCAATTCTGACCATTCTGCTTTCTTAGGAGCTGGAGCACCAGAGAGGAGCCCTCATGAACGAAATCCAAGCTGCCAAAAACTCTTGGTTTAGCAAAACCCTGAACTCGATCAAAACGGCCACGGGCACGCAGGCCCCGGCGCAGCCCCCGCCGCCCCTGCCCCCCCGGGAGGGCAGCACATAGTTGGGGCCACACCCGGCACCAGAGCACAAAGAACAACGCAGCTGAAACACCCCGGAGGAGCCTCCCAGCGGTCCCTCCTCTCGGGGAAAGGACAAAAGGCAGGAGCGCAGGCTTGAAGTGAAACCCTTCGGTGTTTTTCATTCATTTTCTGATGTGAGCCTTTACAAAAGGGGGTGGGGGGGGGGGAAAGTAATTCCTGGTTTATGTTGAATTCTTAACTTCCCAACTGCCTTGCTGAAAGCCACGTTCTGATACCTTCATACTTTTACACTTTATTTTCTATGACTAGATGTTAAATAAATACTTCAAACCTAGGTCTTTAATACACGACTAATTCGAAATTGTTTTTTATCTTGCATAGAAAGTTTTTTTTTTTTCTCTTCTTCTGGAGGCAGAGAGGGAACGGGCAGTGTGAGGCGCTGCAGCAGCCTCTCCCTGGGAAGCACAGGTGCTCAGTCCTGGGGTGTGTGCAGTGGCCCTGGGACCAGCCCCGTTTATGCAGGGACTGCGTCCTGCAGAGAAGCACTTTCTGTAAAGCTTTTAGGCTGTAGCTTGTGCTGTCCTGGCACAGCCCTCAGGAGCTGCCCTGGAACCCCTCAGTTCGGATTGGTTTTCTTTCAGAAGTGCGAGTCGTGCAGTTCTTGTAGCGCTGTTGTTTGATGGCTGTTCACAGCTCAGCTGGAATTTAACATAAAGTTACCTAGTTCCCTTTGTTTTATTTCGTGTTATACTAAGAATTCCGAGGAATAATTCCTTCCACTGGGATAAAGGGAAAGCTGTTCAACGCTCATTTGATGGTTCTGGCTGAGAAGCAGAGTGAAGACCCTGCACAGTTTTGACCTTTTGTAAATCCTGTGCGATAAAGGTTAGGTTTTATGAATAAAACTAATGAAAACCTTTCCCTGGGTCTACATTCAAATTCCAAATTTGACATAGAAATGAGGTATCAAAAAAAAAAAATACCCAAAAAGGCTTGTGCTGCACTGATGAATAAAACATCACAGAAGCAAGATCTGTTTGCTAGAAGTGTTTGGTTAGGAAATGCTACGTTGGTATTACTTATTTTTATAAAAACAAGCATTTTCAAGTGGAATACAAACCCTAGCCTTTCCTGTGGGGGTAGACTTCTCTGGTGATTCCCAAACCTGTCTGGTTGTTTTGTATCTCTTAAGGTAAGAAAGTTCAAGAGCGTTTGTTTTGACTGAACATAAAGTGTTTATAGAAATACTTATTTCATGGAAAATTAAACTATTGCTTGAACCGATGGAATATTTTTTTAATTATACCTGTCATGTCTAAAGATGGTCTTGCAGTTAAATGTCATTGCTGGACTAAAGGTTGTGTATTAATTGTTCCATTTGCAAAGTTGTTCCAGGGACGTTAGTTCTGTTTTGTTATTTTTTTTTTTTTTTTTTAATTTTAAGGAATGCCATACCTTGTCAGTTTTGTACAATAAAATTCAATGATACCCATCTTGTGCTTTGTTGTCAAGCATAATTGTGAATTATTTTCAACAGGGTAGTACAGATTTAATGTTACCAGTGCCAAAGTAAAGATTCTGAAAGGCAGTCAGCTGTTTGAAGTAGAGATCAAAATATAATCAGCATCCTGACACCATTCTCTCTTCTAAGAATAAGGGGTTAAAAAAATTTAGTATTTTAAAATGTACCTGCAAGAACAGGGATTATCTGTAAATATTAAGGCAGTGAGAAAGAAAAGGAAGGGGGGATAGAAGGAATTTCTTTTGCAAATGTTAGCAAAGGTCTTTTTCCCTCATCACTTTCTTGCTCATAATATTTGCATAAATGTTTCCATTCTCTTGTCTGACTAAACCCAGCGTTAGTCATTCCCTTACCAGTTCTGCTTCACACATCCACAGCTGTGAATCTGAATTTGTAATAAATCTGAAGTGACATTTAAGGATACCTGCTGAACATCTGACTGGAACATTTGAGAGTACCGTGCCCTCGAGTGACACTGGTGGTTTGACAAGTGTCTGAATCTCTCATTTCATTTATCTTTAATCGTACCTAGAACTGGATTGGAAACCTTGATTGGAAAAATGCAGTAATAGTAACAGAAAAAAACGTGTAATACTGTGATTCCCTGAGCAGGTGAGTTAACAGCTCACAGCTGCTCAAACATCTCAACCCTGCAGCTCCCCCTGGTACAGTCCTGTCCCTTGTCCTTGTTTCGGCACTTACTGGAGAGGATTAAAAACAGCAACAAAAAAATACGTGGGTGGGTTTCCCCCCTTCCCCCTCCAGTTTGTCTTTTGCCAAGTGACTGAGTTTAAATCATCTCAAAGGGTCCAGTGGATGCCCAGTTTATCAGAAAGGAGCTGGTAAATGAGCTCCCCAGGTTCATGGAATGAGCTTTCCTCAGTGTGTGGCAGCCCTCTGGCAGGTGACTTTCTGGAACCAACCCACCTTTGCTACCTGCTGGTTGTGATGCTTTCAAACTCCTCTAGGCTGGAAGCTGAGGCTTGGGTCACCCAAGGGAAGTTTGAGAAGGCAGTGACGTAAAGGCAGCAAAGGAATTCCACCTTCCCGCTGTAGATCCAAGGTAGTGTTTGTTTTGGAAGAGTTACATTTGTCTTCTCAGAACTGCCCAAAGAGTGAGGAAATAATAATAGCTTTATGGCATTGTCTTGGTGAGTGTTCAGAAGCAAGGAAAGGAGGAGGACTGCAGGATATTAAGCCAGGCAGGCTAAAATTCCACCTGCTGACTGTAGGTGCTGCAGGGGAATGTAACCTCCTGCAGGAAAACCTCTGTGTGTGACAGAGCTGCCTGCACACCTGTTCCTGATGGATCTGTCAGGCAGAGCTGGCTGCTTGTTCAGCCTTCCAGCAGGAAACGTCATCAAAGTCCCACTGAAACTCTTGTTTCCGTGTGGCACTGGGACAGCTAACAGAGTTTGTAAGTCTGGAGTTACTAACTTTTTTTTCCTGAGTTGGTATCAAACTGTGTGTCCACAGCAAACCTTTATTAAAAATAATTTGAATTTTATAACTATATGTATGTGGAACGAAATCCTATTTTTTAATTTTGTTGAGAATGCACCGTTCTGAAGTGAACCCTGTACTTTGATTAGGGACAAACCTCCAAAGAATATTTTTACTAGAACTGTTCTACCTTGTTGGACTCTAATCTGTTCCTGAGATGCCCAATATGGGGGGACAAAAAAATGGAAAAAAGTACTCTTTTTTTCCACTTTAAACAGTTGTTTTTCCTTTGACTGTAACACTTTACAGGCTAAATGAGGCAAGGCTGATTTAGTTACGTGAACTAGTCTTGTATTATCTTTGTGAACCAAACATAATACTCTCTAAAGTAATAGGACTTATTTCACTTAGTTTACATTTCTAAATGTACCTGGAGAGAATTAAAAAGAAAAAAAAAAATATGATGTGTGGAGTTAAGCCAAGAAACTGCAAAATCCCTGAGGTCCACCTGCATTAATGTTCAGTAAAACCAGTCTCAGGGAAGGTAGTCAGCTGTGTAATCAGTCCTGCCAGCTGACAAACCCACCCTCGTCCTGCCCATTAATTAGGATTTAATTTGCTACAGTGGAGTTCCATTGCTGCAGCTACCTTAGAAGTGCTTACATAGGTAAGCAGTGTTTTTTTCTCTTGTTAGACATTTTAAAGGACTGCTCTTGGTTGTTGGCCCTTGAAATTTCTTCTAAGATGAATGATTATCTGTGCCATTGTGTTAGAAACAACTCGAAATCAAAACAGCCATTTACAGGGGGAGAGGGAGAGCCAAGAACTGCAAGAATTCATCCCCTTGACAAAGCATGAATATCCCATTGACTTCAGGGTCATGGTGCCCCTCACTGACTGGCTGTGGCAGTTCAGGAGTAAATAACAATCTGCATTTAGTGGCACTGAAGTATCAAAAGCTACATTGAAAGCCACATGCCATGCTTTCCACAGGATCAAGGTAGGGCTGTTCCCTTCCTTCTATGAAGTAGCTGCAGTGAAATCCATGAAACTACTTGTATGTGTGGGAGAACTATACCTCTGATTTTGATTTACTGTTAGACTCAGGGATAATTGGCAACTTCTGCATCATCTCCTAAGCCTAAAACACCTTTGGCTCTGAAACCAGAAGCACTCTTACCTTACAGTGCTGGTGCTCTTGCAGCTGCTGGAGAGAAAACCTCAGCAAGTGTCACTGGTTGATGGTGACGAGAGGGCAGAGAGGTTCCTCTCGAGGCTGAGGGGCTGCTGTGGCTGGCAGGGATCCTGCTGCAGGGGCTGCTGTGCACCCAGCTGGCTGTCCTGGACACGTTATCTGTCTGCCTGTTGTGCTAATACCCTACTGGGACCTCTCAAGTCTTAGGGTTAGGTGTGTGTCACAGCAGCCTTTAGAACTGGGCTAATCCACAGATGGGAGGAATTTGCAACTGGATAAATAATGCTCAGCATTGATCAAGATCCTGTCTTTCCCAAGTCAGAAGTCTACCCAAATTCCTTCAGGATTGTGACTTAACACGTACAGGTTAATTCTCCAGGAATACAGGGCTCTCCGTTTCTCCTGGATCCCAACTGCTTTGCTACTGAATGTATTTCGTGCTATTTTTACCTGAAAAAGAAAAAAGGGTAGAGAATTAGGACATTACTTCCTCTTATTTTCTTATTCAGTGGGACTTGCTTTTATTTAACCTGTAAAGGAATATAGATGTATCTTTGGAGAACTATATCTTATATAAAGAATAATATATAAGAAACTGAACGGCAAGGGGATAAATACATCGAAAGGATTTGGTGTCATGAATTCCATTTGTGATTTGATACCACCGGAATCCTGGGCTGTACTAATTTCCCTACAGTTTCTCCTAGTTTTGTATTTTATATAATGCATGGATGGTACTACCAATGCAAACAAGAGCAGATGTTCCCAGATTTGTCTCCAGGTCTCGATTCCCTCTTTCCAGTAATCCCTGGGTTTGCATTGCTGCTGCTACCACCCTCAAAAGCTGTGCCAGGAGCTCTCTGGAGCCTTGGGAACTGTTGTTTTCCAGGGAAGAAGATTCCCTGGGTTCTCTGAACTGGGAAAAGATGGTGAGTACAGAAAAGGGTCTAACCAAGCATGATGCAGCTCCCTCCATGTCTGCCATTTAGATGGATTCACTCCAGCCCATGGAAAACAGAGCAGCTGCAAAGCTCTCTGTGACTCCATTACAATGAAGTTTTCCAGGTTTGGAATTGCCTTTGTGATCCGTGTGTGTGTGCCAAGTTCACAATTCCTAAAGAGTTAGGAAAAAAAAGAGCATCACAGAGAGATCAGACTGTTAGCTGAGAAAAATTCAGTACTGCCAGTACTTGGGTAAATCATCCATGTATTATATAAAGTACAACATGGAAATATAAGTGTAATGCTTGTTATTAAAAGTGCAATTCAATGTACATGGTCACAACAAATGTTTACTTTTTTAATTGTTACTGAATTGTTTGGATCAGTACCTTGTTATCATTGTGTGAACGATGCCTTGTAAAATAAATGGAAATGGACAACAAGGTGGGAATAAGGTGCTTATTTTCCTGAGGCATTTGCTTAAGAAACAGCTCCAATCTGTTGGCAGGAATAAGCAGCTGCTGAGTCAGGTTTTGTGACTCAGGTCTCACCAGCTGGTTCTGTTGCAGCAGTGACTCAGCAGATGAGCTGTCCAGAGTGTGTGTGTGCTACTGGGCTAATTCCAACCCGGGGGGAACCTGTTCACAAGAGCTCATGGGGCACCCCAATCCTCTGCTCCAAGTGCCGGTCTGAAGGCTCCAGCACAGAGAATGCTTCTCCTAAAGGCCGGAGATACTTCCCAACAGCTGATGTTGGGAAGGACTTCCTGCTCCCCTGGAGTACAAGTGAGCCATGAGGCAGCGTGCCTGCAGGGAGAGACACAGGCAGCAGAAGGGAACAGCGAGACACTGGAAATGGGCTCCAGACAGAGGCACAGCTGAGCAAGAACAGGACAGAGCACAATTTACCATAGTCAGAAGTATCCAAGCGATTTATAAAACCATTTTTCCACGTGAGCAACTGCTCTGGGATTTCTTTTCTATTACCTGAGATGAAGAGCCGTTGTTCCCAGATAACTGGAAAAGCACACAGCACTTCAGGGGCAGATAAGAAGGCAAAGAGGGAGAAAAGCAGAAGATTAAATTTACCAGGCGTAACATTTTGTATTGATTTACCTCCACAGCACTATCCAAAGTGTTTGTCAGGAGAGGATGCAGCATCCAGAAGCTGCTGCAGCTCTGAGCACATGGGGCCTTTTTGGAGCTTGCTTTTACGTGACAATAATGCTAACTTTTCCACGTGGAAGCTGCCACTCAAAGGGAAGTGCCACGCGTGCTGAAATGCTCCTGATTTAAGGAAACTAAATAAACATTGGATTTAAAAAAAAAAAAAAAATCACGGGAAAAAAGCAAATTGTAGGCCCAAATGCATTTATGGAGTAATGAAAGCATTTTCCTCCTAGAAATTCATTTACAAACTTACCAATTTAAATTGTAAAATTAGGAGCACTTCCTAATATAAGACCACAATTGAGAGTGAAGAAACTCGCAGATTAATATATAAGGAAAAAAAACCAAAGAAAGTTTTTTTCTTGTCTCAGTGGCAGTTCAACAGAAAGATCATAAGGAAGCAATTCCTGAATAAGCAACTGCTTATTGCAACAACCAATTGAGAAAACATGCCATGGAAGTAAATACCAGTTGACCATGCTGTATTTTCTGGATAAAATCAACTATCCTGTCTCCAAATACTGCTCCTGAAGATGATCGGGGCTTAAGCTCATTCCTATGAAAATTAAACATAACCACAAGTTGATTTTGCAGATCTTTCCCAACTGCAGATCCTGAAGCACTGCAGCAGAGGGTAATAATAAACACCTCACTACAACATCTGTTAAAACTGCTGCGGGGAATGCAAGGCTTGAATATCAATCCTTGGCTTCAGGGTTTCTGTGAATTCCTCATCAAATTTCTCCATACCTCTGCAAAGTCAATATCCTCACAGATTAATTAAATCCTGGATATTCACTTTAGAAGAGAAAAACCACCCAAAACCTAAGCCCATAAATCAGCAAATGAGCTGGCATTCCCCAGCTTGGTGAAACAGGTGTTCTAACTGGCACCTTTTTTTACAGAAATTGACTTTTTAAACACTGAAGGGCTGTGTCCTGCCTTGGCTTCCACTGTTTATAAAGGACATCGGGAGGCAAACGCTGCCTCCTCCACGTTGCTACTGAGAGAAGGATTGGCATTGCCTTATTTATTTTTGGTTTTGTGGGAAATTTTAATGCCCAGCAGGGACCTGGGGATATTGAAACGTTTTTTTGTTGGTGCTCACAACGCTGACTTAGTAAGAATGGTGAGAACCATCTTTTTCTTTCAGTGAGGAAAACGCTTAAAGAGGATTTTGGTAGCATTACACCGGTGTATTTTCACACACATGTAGCCACATATTATGAATTAAAGCCACATTTCCTTCCCAATGGTTTGATAGCTAAATCTTCTCTTACTCCCAAAGTCACTCCCTGAGAACACATTGTGACATTACAAGTTAGGAACAACTTCCCAGCAGCAATTTACACTCTGGTTTTGCTCCAGAAAGCTCTATGAGCATTTGCTGTGGGGGTCTCCCTGAGGCAGTGTGTGTTCGGGGAGCTGTGCCATCCACCCAACCTCTCTGTTGGTTTGAATTATTTTATTTATTTTTTTTTTTTTTTAATTGATGAAAGCTTAGAACTTGAAGGCTTAAACCTTGTTGGAGTTACCTTGGAGGTCTTTTCCAACCTTAATAACCTTTTCCGTGAAAATGAGGAGCGAACACACAACAGGGCACTCGGTTTGTGAGCCTTGTTCCCTTTAAAGGCTGGGAACACAAATTTCTTCCCTTTTCAGCATTATTAACTCCACCACATCAACTTGATGTTCTTTACCCGAATAAGGAAAACAAGACGCTGTTTTGCAAAACTGTTCTAGGCCATGAGCTCTAGTGACATCTACCAAAAAAACAGGGGGAGAAGTCTGATCACCCAAAGAAAACGTGCTCCCTGCTCGCCTCAGCCCCTGGCCCCTCACACCCGAATTATATCAAAAAACAGGGTGCCCTCACACATGAGATACGAGTGACCAGAGCAAGACAGGTGACAGCTACAGTGAAACTCCGTGAACCCACGACTAGAGGTTTGAAAATCGGCCCAAGGCTTCTTGTAACCAAGTCACTAGACACAGACATTCACACAGATCGCCACAGAAGCGTTACTCTTGTTGCCGCTTGTGGTTTGAAATGACCAGAGATAGATACCAGCAAGGTCAACCTACACCATGCTGTTCTGTCAGCTTCAAAGGCTAAACGGTTTCCTTCCTTGAACCTTAAAAACACAGTAAATTCAGGGCGGCACCGCCCGCCCCTCAGAGCCTCGGGGCGAGGAAAGCTCCTGGTCCCGCCCGTCCCTCAGAGCTTCGGGACGGGGAAAGCTCCTGATCTCGCCCGTCCCTCAGAGCTTCGGGACGGGGAAAGCTCCTGATCTCGCCCGTCCCTCAGAGCCCGGGGGCGGCAAAAGCTCTTGATCCCTCCCGCCCCTCAGCCCCTCGGGGTGGGGAAAGCTGCTGGTCCTGCCCGTCCCTCAGAGCCCGGGGGTGGGAAGGCCCCCTGTCCCGCCCCATGTCCCTCCTACCCTCAGCGCCCGGGGGCGGGCAGGCTCCATGTCCCTCCTCCCGACGGGCGGAGCGGGCCGTGTCCCGTCACTTCCCGCGGCCGGAAGGTTCCAGAGGTTCCAGCGGGAGCCGCCATGGCCGCGGCGCGGGAGGAGGTGAGGCGGGTCCCGGCGGGTCCCAGCGGGTCTGGCCCCGCCGCCGCGGGCGCTGCGGTCCGTGCCCGGCCCGGAGCGGGGTGGGAGCGGCGGCCCCGCGCTCGCCCAGGGCTGCGGGGGGTCCCCCCGTGAGGCGGGGCGTGTCGGGGGAGCCGTGCCATCTGCCCCGCTCCTGTCGGTTCGGGGTGTTCCTTAAATGATGAAGGGTTAGACACTGAAAGCTTAAAACTTGTTGGAGTTGATGGTCTTGGAGGTTTTTTCCCGAGCCTTAACAGCCGTGTGCTGTAAGATGGCCCTGCCTGAGCAGGGAGGTTGGACAAGATTGTGTTTCCTTCCGACCTGACCCATTCTGTCAGATTTAATGGCTCTGTATATATGGTTCTATATGGTTATATATCCACAGGAGATATATATACATACATATATATATATATATATATATATATATATATATATATCAGGGGGTGAGGAAGGGATGGCTCTGTTTAACGGGGTTGTAGCGGGAAACGAAACCAATGACCTAATTAACCTGAAGCTTCTGGGAAACGGGGAAACTGTCGCAAAGAGCTCAGCTGTGAGCCCTGGGCACGAAGAACCGTGTCTAATATATATGTGACCTCTTGGTTTCCAACCAGCTGCAGAAAGATTTGGAGGAGGTTAAAGAACTGCTCGCGAAGGCCACGAGGAAGCGGGTGCGTGATGTCCTGCTGGCAGAGAAACACAAGCTGGAGATGGAAATCAAGAATCAGCCTCCGCCCAAGCCAAAAGATGTGGCAGAGGAGGAAAAGTCGTCGCTGGGAGGGTACACGGTGAAAATAAACAATTACGGTAGGATTCTTTTTCTAGTGTCTCTTCTGAACAGAAAGCAGGGTGGTGTTACTGTGAGTTAGAGTCGCCACTTATCATTATAGCAAAACCTTCTTAAGTGTTTATTTCATCCTGGAGACCCCACTTTAAAAGCTACCACGTGCTAACCCTGCCATCACAACCACAGTGTGTATTTATCCTGTTTGTGTGATGGTGCTGGTGGGATGCATTAGGGATCCCTGGTGTGCCAGCTGGTGTTTTTCCATTACCTAGTGCTTAGCAGGAGTAAAGGAGGGAGATTTGGCTTCTCTGCTTGCCATGTAGGTGAGAGGAGAGGGAATTGCTCAAGATCCAGGGAGTAGGGGAAGAAGTGGGTCAAGGAAACTGCAGCAGGAGCAGACAGCTGCCTCTGAATCCCCCTGCACAGACAGGGTTGCTCTCCTTTCACCTCAGCTGATGCACGTTTTTTCTCAGAATTTGCAGGAATTAGCGAACAGGGCTACATATAAAGACCTCCTTTTGCATTCAAGTTATTCCTGAATAATCCATGTTTTCCCCTTATCCCTCTGAAGATTGTTTTAGTAATGCAGAGATGGTAATCATTCTAGGGGAGTTTGTGGAGGGAGTTGGAATGGAATGCATGCAGTTTATGGAGGAAAAGTAGAAGTTAATCTCTGTTTTTTCACTTGCAGGTTGGGATCAGTCAGATAAGTTTGTGAAGATTTACATCTCTTTAAATGGTGTCCAGAAGCTTCCAGCTGAGAATGTGCAGGTGAATTTCACAGAGAGGTGAGTTCATCTGGTGGTACCACAACGGGAACACTCTGAAATGCAGGAGTATTGGATCAACCCTTACTTCCTTTTTCTTTTTTAAAACTTGAGCTGTATTAGCTTTTAGTTCTCAGGACATATTCTTAAGTACAGCTCTCCTTAGAGGGTATCAGGATGTTTTCATTTTGCTTGTTGCACCTCTCCACGCTTGACAGGACATCTGGTGTCAGCCCTGATAGAACTTGAATGTACATTAAAGAAATCTGCCTTTCCAAGGTTGTAGGAGATCAGTGAGGTAGAAAGGACCTTGAAGATCTTGATTTGTTGTGAAGTCAGGATTGGTCCTTTTAATTTCTTAGTGTTGAAATTCAGCTGAACACTGGAGAGCCCTGGGAATAAACTAATCCAAGCCTGTTGACCCGCTTTCTCAAGAAATACACCTGCTTTCCTAAGGAAAAGGTCTGCTAAAGGGTTTTCAGACATCGCAATAATTGGAATATTTGTGCCTTTCTGCCCTCTTCTTTCCGGTTCCAGGTCATTTGATCTGCTGGTGAAGAACCTGAATGGGAAGAACTACACCATGACCTTCAACAACCTCCTGAAGCCCATCTCTGTGGAAGGCAGCTCTAGAAAGGTCTGTAAGAGACACTTTGTCTGTTAAGAGATAATTTAGGTCCCTCACAAAGTATCATGTTCATTGCCTGGCTCTACTTCAGGAGACTTAGTCCTAGCCTTCACTCTCTCCCTTCTACTGTAAAGTCTCTGCACTGTGAATGTGATTCTTATTAATCTGGGATTGTCATAACTGTGGAATTAGTCTCTGGAATCCTATTTCAAAAGATCATGTCTGGATATTCTATACTTTTTTTTTTTTTTAATAGCTCTCCAACAGGATTTCAGAAATAATTAAGCAGAAAATTCCACCAAGCATCCATTTGCATCTTTGTGCTTTTAAATACCTCTGAGAAATTCTCTGCAGTTTTAAGGTCTGCAGACCGAAATCTTGGGAAGCTTAAAGAGGCTTAATTCCCAAAGCAGGGTCTGAGACCTGCTCTGCCTCAGTAAGGGTGGATTGCTCCAGAACTGAACACTGGTGGTGTGGCTTAACCCCTGCTGGGGTTAATTTTCCAAGGGAATCAGAACATTAGTGGCATTTTACTGTTGCTGACTGCAACTGGTGATATCCACGCTCTGCTACTTGTAGCACCTGTCCAGGCTTAGGGAGGTGTCGCACATCTGAGCTGCACGTGGTGACACCGGATGGGAAGAAATGATGGTTCAATCTGAAATTGCCCTAAAACTAGGACAGGGTGAAATTGAAACGGCTGAAATAAATGAAGGTGATGCTCTGGTGATTTCTAATGTGGGCTGAAAGTGAGCAGTGGTCACGTATTTGCTAAGCAGCAGCAGACTCTTGTCTGCTGAAGCAAGTGGGAGTTCTTTGTGAAATTTAGGTCAGGGTTGCAATTAAACAGGCTTTGTTTGTAACTTGCAAACATGTTGCAAGATTAGGCAATACCCTAAAACTATTTTCTTGTCCTTGGAGAGAAATTGGAAGAGCCTCTGCCTGAACTTGGTGTGCTTGGAGAAGTCCAGTAGGAAGCCCAGACCCTCTGCCAGGCAGCCCTGGGTACCTGAGCATCCTGAGAATCACTGAACGGTGTTTATGCAGCACTTAATGTTCTTCTGTATTGGTGCTGTAGTTCTGTGCTAGAATTCTAATCATTACACCATTTAAATTGCCCACAGTGAGGTTAATACTTTGTGCCCTAAAGCTGAGCACGTGCTGTAATTTTTGTATGCTACATAATAATGAATAACTGAGAGAAACATTTCAGGAATTTGTGAGTGTGGAAGAGGTTTATGTTATAAGCTGATCTTATTCACTGTGAGCAGGATCCCTTCATGAAGCAGTCTAAACTCCTGCCTTGCTGTTCACCATACAGATAAAGACAGACACGGTCCTTGTGATGTGTAAGAAGAAGCGGGAGGAAAAATGGGATTGCCTCACTCAAGTGGAAAAAGAAAGCAAAGAGAAAGAGTAAGTGTCCTTTCAACCCTCCATCTTGTTTTCCATTTCTTGTTCTCCACATTCCCTTAGGACTGCTGGGAGAGGTCTTTGCTGTTCTGACTGAATCACTGGGCTGGGGGACAGGCCCCTAAGGTGTTTGAGGTCCATTGTATTGGGATTTTTTTTTGGAGTGCCTGTAGGACTGGCAGTGGAGGAGATGCATTTTCAGTAGGTGTTTGGCACTCTTGTACTGTTTTATTGCTCATGATGGAGGCTGCATCATGGGGAATACAAGAGATAAAGACCTGCAGTGAGATTGCTAAAGGGAATCAACCAGTTAAGGATTCATTTGCACTTTGATGGCTGCATTTATTGCAGAAGCTGCTCTAGTGAGGTGACATCTTCAGGTGAAGGGTATATTGTACAGAAACACACAGATATATTCCCTGCAGCTCTGCTGGTCAAAATAATTATTGTGATCTCTGAGTGAAGTGCCTGCACAAAAACCCCAGCCTGCCCTTGGCCAAAGAGGTCTTTGTTTACTCAGATGATGATCCAAAGTCTCGAGCCAACTTCTATCACTCCAAGTGCTTTGGAGCAGCAGGCAGCTTAGACATATATAGGCATTTGACAGCAGGAAACACCTGGGGACAGGAAACTTTCATAGATATATATAAAAATGTGTATCATATAATGATTTTATATACAAACACACCTCCCAGCTTCTGAGCGCTGGGGTCTGCACAGCTGGTGCTTAGCCCAGAGCGTGGGGAACTTGCTCCCTCTGCTGATCTGTTCTGCTCTGCCGTGTTTCGCAGCTAGACTGCACAAGGAGCTGCCTAGAGGGTTTTGGAAAACGGCATACAGGCAGTTCTGCTTTGAAATGCGAGGTGTTAAAAAGGAGCCGGTTAACCTCTGGAGGTCAGCTGAAAAATGGGAAGCAGAAGAAAAAAGCCTTCTGGGTTGTGAATGTGGTCACTTCGAAGAGCTCTGTGTGGTCGTTTCTCTGTTTTTATTCACTTGTCACGTAACACGGGCTGATACTGGCACTTTGTTTCTGTTTTATTTCACTTCTGCTTCTTAAAATTAATGTAGGGCGCTGCCTCCAGGTCCTGTTTGCTGCAAAATGCTTCCCATCCAAATGCTCTCCCACCCCACAGGCCTCTCTAGGTACACCACTCAACTCGCTCTTGTTCAAGGGTGCTCCTCGGGATTCTCCCTGCTTGGAACCTGAGCGAGACTGCCACGATTTAAGGACTTTGCCAAAGCAAAACTCTCACTGTTAGCAGGACATTTCAAACCAGTGCTAGCATTTAATGTTTTGCCCAGAGTTGCTGGGTATTCCTGAGCTCCTCTGTGTGTGTCTTGCAGGAAGGCTGCCTACGACACCGCCGATCCCAGCGAGGGGCTCATGAACATTTTAAAAAAGATGTACGCGGAAGGGGACGATGAGATGAAGCGCACCATCAACAAGGCCTGGGTGGAGAGCAGAGAAAAGCAGTACAAAGGGGACATTCCAATGGATATCTGAAAGCACTCTGAGGGCCGCCTTAATACTGATCTTCCATGTGAGACACGCTGTGCTGCAAAGATCATCGTTTACACGACCTTCTTCCAAGCAAAGACAGTCATTTTCCATTTCAGGTTGGAGAAAATATTTAAATAAAATAGCTTATAAAGCATTTCCTTCAGTCAAGTGGTTCACGGTTTCCTGAGGAGTGGAGCATAGGTATATCCTTACCCCTCCTTGAGAAAGCTTCTCAGATGAGTGGGGAGTGCTGTGAGACTGGGAGTGTAAAAGTAAAGAATCCTAAAGTAGGATGTGTCAAGGCTCTGTTGCCAGTGGCAGCTGTGCCCATGTGGTTGTTGGGGCTAATGTCATGCTCTCTACACAGGGCGTGGCTTTTTGATTAGACGTGGGAAAGTGTTGAAGTGTAAAGCATGTCACAAGGGGAGAACTGAAGCAAGCAGAACCACTGTCCCGAGCACTTGACAGTTAAGCAGAAACGATGTGGTGTTAAAATTTAGCAATTACACTCAGAAATTAGTTACTGGCTGTTCAGCCTCTTACGAATTTTGGAAACGAAGGCAGCTCTATAGTGCCAACCCTGAGCTCGCTGGGGTGTCTTTGAGGTGGCATCAGTCACAGGACAGCAGTGGGCTGCTGATGCTGGACAGGGAGCTTGCCCTGGCTCTAGCAGTGTCTGGGGAAAAGAGGGATAAGCTCCACTTTGCCTATCACCTCTCACAGGTTTTAAGGAAACAGTAAGAAGTGCATTCAGATAGCTTATACTCCAACATGTGACTCGGCTGGGGGTCATGGGTTGCTGTCAACTTTGCTGCTAGTGGTATTTGGCCTCTACTGCCACCTCTCAGCCCCACTGCTGGGGAGGGGGGCAGAGCAGCCACTGCCCCTTTATTGCATTGCTTTGAAGAAGAGTGCAGGGCAAACATGAGCTTAGCAGCAGGCTTGTTGCTGTGTCCTTCCTGCTTCCTTCTCACGTGTCTCCCAAGGACAGATTTGTTGTTACCTTAGGAATTAAGGAAGCCATTACTCTCTTGTTAGGGTCTGGACCTACTTGCTACCTTGTTCATGAAGCACTGGACCAAGTGCTGCACTACAGACAGGAGAGAAATAGTAGCACGTTGTAGTTTCTAACAGGTCCTTTAGCCACTTTGTCTGGTTGTCAATATAAATATATATTGCATAGCAAGAGTATCTAAACCTGAGGCCATGTTTTATTCCCAGTCTGTGCTCACCCTTGTTTGTGGCAGAATACCACTATGCCCTTGTTGTGCAGTTTCATTTATGCTTTTACCCAAATTACCGTGAACTTACCGTACGGTGGCAAAAAAAAAAAAAACAACTTAAATAAGCCTTGTGCTGTATGTCTTTATTTCTAACACTGCCCATACCTGCAACCATCCAGTAGGGAATTTCCTCAGAATCAAACTGCCTCTCACACGGACTGATTTAGTGCAGTTGTGCTGCTTGTCAGCTGCTACCAACTGCACTCCAGTGAGGTGAATGAATCAGCACAACTTCTCATTTTATTTATTTGACATTGCTGCTGGACTCTGAGGCAGGACAGTCTTGCTTTAATTGCTCACGTGCACAAGTGAGCCCGGTTTGTGTTTCCTGCCCGAATGAACATCCCCTGGTGATCACCACATGGCCCTCTGCACCCCAGACACCTGAGCGTGGTCAGCAAAGTGGCGGAAAACGATTCTGCTGAGCCTCCAGCGCCGCCTCACGCCCCGGGGGCGGGATGTCAGGACACACCTGTTGTGGATCCTCGAGGGGCAGCTGTCCCGGGGCAGGGCCGCGATCTCCTTGTCGGCCACTTCCTAAAACACAAGGCCACAGCGCTGACTTAACCTGTGCAGGTACCACCACAAGCTTCTCTGCCACCTCACAGGTGAACTTTGCTCTCTTCCTCACTCAGCCCTTTCATTCTGGGCATCCCAAGAGTGAATGTAAACTGATAAATGTGGAGACCCCAAAATCAGCCTTATTATACACACAGAACAATATCAAGGCACTAATTACAGTCAAATTAGCTTGTCTCTGTCCGTGTGGCAAAATTTAACCTTATTACAGACCGAACACCCTCAAGCCAGGAACTGTAGTTATTCAAAAATCCACTTGGCTTTCTCCTTGTTGCAGGGTGGGTAAGTCCTTTAAGATGAGCTGAATTAAATACATGTTCTTTATTAACTACCTGCCCGGGTAACATGCTTTGATGTCAGTGAAAGGGGCCTCATACAGTGTACTTTGGAAGGTGTCACAGGGCTTTGTTTTGTTTTGTTTTGGGGTTTTTTTCAGTGTTTCTTGGTTTTGTACTGTAAGAACATCCAACACCAGCCAGACTTAGCAAGAGAATGGTAAAGTCAATATATAAAAGCAGATTCATACACTTTCTCTCCCAGAATGTTTTAAGTGGAAAAGGATCATGCCATAACTAAGCACGGCCAGATCAAATACATACAGGAATAATCTGATACTTGCAAACATTCTTAGTGCTCAGTAAGGCTGAGAGCAGAGCAGTGAATACGTGCATTTTTATGAACAGATCTAACAGCCAGATCTGATGCAGCTTTCACATGTTTGCAGCTCAGACAAGAAGTAAAATTAAGCACTGTTAATGGAACAAATTGGTGGTTTTGGCTGGATCAGGCTTCCAGGTCTTTAAATAAGCAAAATAAAAAATAAGTCTAAAGTTTAGATTTTTAGAAGCTATGAAAGTAACCATGTCACGTCACATCAGAAAAATAGGTTTGTGAATGTATGTTAGTGACAGCACGAGGGGGGAAAAATGTGATTTCACTGTACTTGTAGCTACATGTGCTGCTTACATGAGAAACACTGGTTTTCAAAAATCCCACAACCCAACACACATGTCCTCCAGTCAGGTGAATACGCTCTTGTACACCCCCCCAAAAGGCTGAGGCAACTGCAATATGACATTCTGTGCTTGTGAGCTGGGCAAACACAAGCACTTGTGACCTGGCACAGCCGTCTGGGCCTGTAAAGTGACCCAGAGCAGGTCAAAGCATCAAGAGCCACTCGTGGGTTTGTGGCCTGGCTCGGCACAGCCGTGGGGTGGCTGCTGGTACCTGCAGCTCCTTGGGAAGGATGGTGTTCTTGCGGATGGCGTTGATCCGCAGCCTCTCATCAGCGTACTCGTAGGCCAGCCGCCTCCTCTTGACATCCCGCAGCATCCTCCAGTCCACGTAGTAGCTCCGCACCTGCCCCGGGCAGGGAGAGGGGAGAACCTAGTTCAGGAAAGGAAGTTTGTCACATCTGCCTGCTGCACGTAATTTACCCCAGTCACCTAAGAATTGTTATTGCCATAAACCGTAGAATGCAAAGAGCTGGAAGAATCACTGGGTCCCACCCTCAGCCCTGCACAGACACCCCAACAATCCCCCCTGTCAAAACCCTCCTGGAGCTCTGGCAGCCTTGGGGCTGTGCCCACTGCCCTGGGGAGCCTGTTCAGTGCCAACCACCCTCTAGGGGAAGAATCTTTTTGTGGTGCAACCTGACCCTACCCTGACACAGCTCCAGCCATTCCCTCGGGTCACAGGGAGCAGAGATTGGTGCTGCCCCTCGTAAGGAAGCTGCAGACTGCGATAAGGTGTAAGAAGTGTAATGTGTGACCCAGCTTGGCTGTCGAAGGCAGCGAGTAGTTCACGGTACCGGAGGCACAGCGATCCCAAACTTACACCGAACCCACATTACACCCGACCCGCGCAGTCCGGGCCGCCGCGGGGCCGGGGCCGAGCCCGCAGCCATCTAACACTCCCCGCAGCACCCCCTTGCCCGGCATCGGGCGCACAGGGCCCCGAAGGGGAGCGGGGAAGGAGGTACGGAAGGACGGATGGATGGATGGAGCCGGTCTGACCTGCCGAGCCGCCCTCAGCGCCCAGCCCAGCGCGGCCGCCGCCATCTTGTCCCCGCGCCGCGCCTGCGCGCGGGCATGGCGGGGGCGGCCCCTCAGGGCGGTCCCTGAGGGCGATGCCACCTCCCTCCCGCTCCACTCCCGGCGTTCCCACCTCCCTCCTGCTCCACTCCCGGCGTTCCCGCTGCTCCTGCGGACGGGAACGGAACGAGAGCCCCAACCGTCCCTGAGGGCTGTGCTGTGTGCCCTAGAGCTGATGTCAGGGCTCGCTGGCAGCGCCCCTCACGAGAGGCAAGCCGGGTCTGCCACAGAAGCGTCAGGGTCCGGCCGCGGGTGGAGCAAAGGGATCCCGGGCTGTGAGGAAAGGCTGTAAAAGTGTCAGGGAAAGTTGTCCCGGCAGGAAAATGGGATGCAGAGGCATCGCCCTGCCGTTGTGGGGTCCCTGTCCGGAACAGGACGTGTGTCCTGCCCCCCTGTCCCTGCTGTGGGACGGGTTATCTGCCAACAGGTTTTTAAAGGCTGGGTTCGTTTTGTTTCTTGAGAGTTTTTTTTGCTTGCTCGTTGCCTAGAAATATTCCTAAATGTCTCTCGATTGCGGGTTTTGGTGGGGTTTTTTTTGTTAGGTTGGTTTTTTGTTTGTTTGAGTTTTTGTGGGTTTGTTTGGTTTTGTTTGTTTTGGTTTGGTTTTTGTGTGTGTGTGTGTGTGCTTTTTTGTTGTTGTTGGGGGGGTGGTGTTTTTGTTTGGTTTTGTTTTTGTTTGGTTTTTTGTTTGGTTTTGTTTTTGTTTTTTAAGTAATGAATTTTGAATCATATAATCACGGAATACCCCGAGCTGGAAGGGTCCCACAAGGAACACTGAGACCCTGAACAGGTCACCCCAACACTCCCACCCCGTCCCTGAGAGCGTTGTCCAAACACCTCATAAACTCGGTCAGACTTGATGCCGTGACCACTTCCCTGGGGAGGGTTCAGTGCCCAAACACCCTCTGGGGGGGAAGAACCCTTTCCTAATACCCAAACTTTTGGGTAAGTTACAGCACTTTACAAACAACACTGAATAATCATAACCCCAAACAATGAAAAACATGGGAAATTCTGCTCCTGTTGTTCTTTGTTCGGTGAGAGAAACTGTCCTGTTCACTGACTGCGTTTTAAATAAGTCTCTGTCCTGATTTCAGGGAAAGCACGCATTAAGGCTTTGATGTTGAATTAACAGTTTTGATTAAATTTTCCATTTGTACCAGCTCGTTAGCTGTATCCAAAAAGTCATTGAAGGAGCTAGATTCTCTCTCAGTTTGTCAAGCTGCTTGTTGTCTGCGTGCCAGGTGTTTTATTTACATGCCTGATATATTACACTGGTCCACAAGTATGTAATAATCTGGAAAACGTGGCCAGGCTGGCGGGCTGATTCGAATTTTATTATCCACGTCAGCAGCTTCCCCAGGAACTTATCCACCTGGGCTGATGGTGACGAGTGGAAAGTGGTCATTTTTAGTGCTGATCAAGTGGCTAATTCTCCACAGCCTGTTCAGTTTCTGCCAACCCAGGTGTTAACTACCCTGAAGGTAGGTGTTTGTCCTGCAGAGGTGCCCAGCTGAAGCCACTAATAGCTGTTCACAGAGCACTAAGCTGGCAAAGGAATAGCTGTTTTCAATCCTCACTGGTTTACTCAGGTCTCATGAGCCACGGAGAGGTGAGATGCTGTTCAATGGCCTCATTTC